TGAGTTTCTTTTAGTCTTAAAAACCCATTTACAGCCAATGGCCTTGGCCCCATTAGGCAACTCAACAAGATCCCAAACTCCATTGTCCTTCATGGAATTCATTTCATCTTTCATGGCTTCTAACCATAAGTCAGACTGTGCACAATTTGTGGCTTGAGAGAATGTTTCAGGATCATTTCAGCCCCTATGTCAGATTCTTGTAGATACGAAACATAATAACTAGGAACTACTGATCGCCTTATCCGAGTAGACCGTCTTAAAGTTGGACCCTCATCACCTTGTACAGGCTGCGGGGCAACTACCTCTTCAGGAACTGGTGGCAGTTCTTGAATTGGTTCAGTCTGCATCGGCTCAGAATCTTGCTGTATATCCTGAGTTGGTTCAACCATTGGTTCGAAATCTAGTTCAGGCAGTTGCTGTAAGTCCTGAACTGGTTCTTCCAATGGCTGATCCTCAACAGTTTGTGGAATCTCAACGGTAGGTGGTATATCTGCAGGCAGAACTAAAGGAGCACTGCGGATAAGTACAACCCCACCAGATGACGTAGAAGGTCGAGAGTCAGTATGATCGAAGGAAGGAACTAAGTCTTTAAACCGATCACTCCCACTAATCGAGTCATCTTCAAGAAATTTAGCATTCCTTGATTCCACTATCCTAGTAGTATGAGATGGACAATAGAACCTATAACCCTTAGAGGACTGTGCATATCCAATAAAGAAAGCACTAATCGTCCTTGGGTCAAGTTTCTTCTCGTGTGGGTTATATATCCTCACCTCAGACGGACATCCCCAAACACGCATATGTTGCAAACTCGGTTTCCAACCTTTGAATAACTCAAAGGGTGTCTTAGGGACAGCCTTGGTTGGAACACGGTTTAATATATACGTTGTCGTCTTAAGTGCTTCATCCCACAACGACTTAGGAAGCTTAGAGTTGCTAAGCATACTCCGCACCATATCCAAAAGGGTCCAGTTTCTTCTTTCAGCTACACCATTTTGGTCCGGAGAACCAGGCATGGTGTATTGGGCAACAATCCCATGCTCTTGAAGAAACTTAGCAAAGGGACCAGGTGCTTGTCCATTCTCAGTATATCTACCATAGTATTCACCACCCCTATCAGACCTAACTATGTGTATTTTCGTGTTACATTGGTTTTCAACTTCAGCTTTAAATGATTTAAAGGCATCCAATGCTTCATGTTTATGATGAAGTAAATACACATAGGAAAATCTTGAGAAGTCATCAATAAAGGTGATGAAATATTTCTGACCAGGTATTGTCATATCAGGACAACATATGTCAGTATGAATAATTTCCAACAACGTTGAACTTCTATTGGCACCTTTCTTTGACTTGTTTGTCTGCTTACCCTTAATGCAGTCAATGCAAGTCACAAAGTCAGTATAGTCTAGAGTAGAAAGTACTCCATCCTTTACCAACTTTTTAATACGCTCAAGGGAGATATGACCTAATCTCCGATGCCACAACATTGAGAAATTGTCGTTAATACTACACCGTTTGGTGCCGTTTTGAATATGTAAAGAATTGTAAATTGAATCATTCTTTAATTTAAGACGGAAAAGACCATCAGACATTGTACCAGTACCAACACAAGTAGAATAACGAAATAACTTGAAATCATTGGCATTAAATTCAAAAGAATATCCGAAGGGTACAAGTCTAGATACTGAAACTAAGTTCCTAGAAAAACTAGGAACGTAAAATGTCTTTTCTAATGTCAAAACAAAACTATTGTCCAAAACTAAATTGCAAACTCCGACAGCTTCTACTGGTGATGCAATCTTGTTTCCAGAGAAGATGCTACACTCAGTTCCCATTGGCTGTCTCAGTTTTGTCATATCCTGCAAAGAGTTTGTAATGTGGATTGTTGAACCAGAGTCAACCCACCAGGAATTAGTATTAACTTCTGACATGTTAGATTCGAAACAAACGAAAGAAGATGAAATGTTACCTTTTTGGGACATTCATTTCTGAAACTTGATACAATCTTTCTTCATGTGTCCCTTCTTTTTGCAAAAGAAACACTTTTGTATCTTCTTAATGTCTGCTTTAGGGGTTAGTTTCCCCTTAGCAGCCATGGTAAGTCCCTTAGGCTTTCCAGACATTCTTTTAGGCCTTGTTGTGGCCATTAAAGCACTTTCCCCAAGCTCAGTTAAAAGTCGTGTTTCCTCTTGAGTACACATGGTAATCAATTGATTGATAGACCATTCATCCTTATGTGTATTATAGGAAATTTTAAATGCATTATAGTCCTGAGATAGGGTATTTAGTGCAAAGTGCACCACAAAGGCATCTGGAAGAATAATCTTCAGCTTCTTCAATTGAGCCGCAATGTCCCTGAGCTGTATGATGTGTTTCCGCGTTCCCTTGACAGTGGAAAGACGCATATTGATAAACTGCATTATCAGGGTACTTGCCAGAGATTTGTTCGCGTCAACAAATTGATCATCGATGGCCTTGAGTAATGGCTCAATGTCCTCAATATCATCGACGGGACCACGAATTTCTCTGGCAATTTTGGACTTAATGAGGAATACGCCCAAGCGATTAGCTGTTGCCCATCGCTCGTATAGCGTTTTTTGTTCCTCAGTGCTTTGCGCAGTAAGCTCAGCAGGCTTCTCATTGCGAAGAGCATAATCAAACCCCAATATTCCTAAATTCAATAGAACAACGTCTTTCCACTCTTTGTAATTATCATAATTGAGGATAGGAATATCAATTGTTATTGATTGAGTGATTGGAAGAGTGGCTGTAAAAGAAAATGGAAAGCTTGGTTAGAATATTTTCGAGGCACAAAATTAGAGAGAGATACTGAAGTACATAATATTACCAATGTAAAATTATGCAAAAAAATAAATTCGGATGCCATAAAAATTGCCTGTGGGCTAAATTTTTACGCATAATGAATTTACCAAAACTGAATGGTGGAAACGGAATGGGTGCGGTTTTAATTTTTCCACCCTTAATGACAAAACTACCAAAACTATATGCCGATACATAATCCCTGTGGGCAAATTATGACCATAGCATGGTATTTCATCCTAATTAACCCTACAAATATAACAAAATTGCATGTGGGCTAAATTTTGCCATATCACGCAGAGTGAATTACAATATTCTTGCATTAACTTTATGTGAGTAAAACTTAATATGTAATAATTTTGGAAAAATTAAAGATGCTGTGGCTACTCTTTAATTAACCAAAGAACATAATCACATTGGAAAGAAAGCCTAATAAACAAACAGATTAAACCAAAATATGATAGACAATTCTTAGGTATACTCCCAGGAAAGTTAGTCGAGATGAAGCTCGGTTAAAAACCAACTCCTTAGACAGAGTAGTGTCGCAAGGGGACTAGTAGCAACAAGGCTTTTAAGCCAGGGCCATAGATCTAGTATTCCTCCCCAAGAAACTTCCCTAATTCATGTGTTCTCATTTTTGAAGTAAAATCGTTTGAGAGATCTAAAGAGTGTAGTTTCACCTATGGATAAGGCTTTGAATAGGGTAAACTACGAATTGTTTATGTACTTTATGTGCTTTAGGAACTTTATAAAACACGAGTGGAGTAATAACTGAAGATTGAGTAATAATATGCATAATCTAACCTGAAAGGCACTAATTCACCTAAAAGGCACTAAATCATGCATAACATATAATTTAGACCTAAAAGGCTCTAAATTTTCTTAATGAACATGCTTTTCTACAGGCATAATTATAACAGTCAAATAATTATTGCAATAAAGAGATAAATAGCATGCTCAGATTATGCACATTACTCACAAAATACTCCACAATTAAATTGCAACACTCAATATAATTTAAACTGAAAAACATTATTAAATTAAAATTCAACTGAAAAATTAAAAGTGAATAATTATTCAAAGTTGAATAATAATTTAATAATAGACTTAATAAAAAAAATCAATTGGATAATTTAATTAGAAGAAGTCCAAATATGATGAAGATGTTAATCTGGATAAATTGATGTAGTCCAAATATCAATTCAGGTTTGGCCCAAAACCATAACAGGCCCAGTTAAAAAAAAAATTATAATTTTTTTTTCTTAATGAGCCCAGGTCTAGCCCAAATTGGGCCAGACCTGGCCCATTAACATATCATCATCATCTTCTTCGTGAGATGAAGACAGTAACGGAGCGCAGCAGCAGCGCCGACAATGGAGGACGAAGGTGCAGCGGTCACCGATGTTGCCTGGAGAGAGGAGAAGATAGCAATGACGGAACTGAGAGAACCCAGCTCCACCTCTGCCGCCCAGCCTACTGCCGTGCTGCGAAACCTTCGCATCACCGTCGCCCTGCCTACTGCACCGGAATGCCATTGTTGAAGGTAGCTAAAGGGAGAACGACTTTGATCTAAATCAGTCGTCTCCTCCGACAACAACGGCCGCCGGCGACCGGAATTCCAAATAAAAACCGGCGAAGCAGAGGAAAAATCATCCAATTTGAATTTGTTTTTTGTTTTTTTTTTTTAATTTCTTAATGCGGAATAAACCAAATTTCCAGCAGCCCAGACAATTTAATTGCGAACCAAAGAATATTCACCATATGTAATTTAATTATACAAATATGTATACAACATATGCAAATATTATATGCAATTAAACGAAAAAAACCAGGCAGAGATTATTTATGGCGGCTGATACCAACTGTTAGACTACAATATCACATGCATCACTATAATATGTGATAATAGGATCGACTAACCTCCAGCCATAGTTCTTGATACGGTTGAGCGATCCGGACTGCTGCAGAGATAACGAGTATTTTGTCTCTCACTTTACTCAGCTCTCTCTAGATGGTGTATGAGGTATGTCATGTGAGCAGTAAGAGGATTAGTGACCTTATATAACCACGGGCCATCATTGTGGTTGATTGTCTTTAGGTCTCCTAAACCCTAACCAGACTCCTAATCATAATGGTAGTCTAGCTATTAGGTTATTAGTGTTGCACCACACATCAAATACTGAATATTATCATAACTTATCCTAATATTATAATAATAGTAACGGATAAACGTTACATTGCTTTCTAATACGCCTTTTAGAAGATGGATCTTTCCGTTATGTTGATGCGCTCGGCCTGACTCGTGTTTGAGGCGTTTCTATCTGAGGCGGAGGATCGGGGAGAAACAAACCACGATTACTGTCAAGTTGTCACAAGTGTTGCGCTTGAGGGCTTCTCTAACTAGCTCTCTTGAACACCTCTCGGGGTCATTGTGCATCATCAATTCCTTCCTGGCCATTGTCACAGCACACTGGCTACTCATCACATCCCAAAGACCATCGCACCCCATGATTAGGAACTCATCGTCATCTGTCAATATAATCTCTTGCATCTCCGGCTCTGCACTCAAGGGGCAGGCGGAGCCCTTTGGAGCATTCATATGCCAGTCTCCCAATGCCCTTTGGAATCTCAGATAGCACCATTTTACTCTACAGAAGATGTATTATGCGAATCACATTTACTGATTAACTAATCCATTGAGATTGAGCAAGGAGAGAAGAGGGACACATTAAACTACACCAACACTAAAAGTTAGAAGCATCTATCTAAGATACACACCCCATAGAAAGGTCCTGGAGAACCCCGAAACTGGCAGATTCTCCCAAATACTCACCTACATTATCTATTCGAATGTGTTCATCCTCCATGTACTGCTTCGGTCCCATCTCAACACAGCTTCGAGATCTAAATACAGGTAGAAAGCTCGGCTTTCCTTCTATCTCCTTGATGTCAACACCGAAATCCTTGAAAAGGATAAGAATTGAAAAAATATGGCAAACTTGCAATATTCCATACTTGCAATAAATTATTTCAAATGCTACAGTAAACCTATTCTTCTCTGTGTTAACTCCTACAGTATTGCAAATATAAAACAAATTTTACCATTATTTCTCTGTTTTGCAGGGCCTCAACAAGGAGTTTGCGCATATTCAAATGCTGGTTTTACCTGACTTCCTCGCACGGAATCAGGTGGTTCCGACAGTGTGATTTCGCCAACCTCGACAGTGTTATCCATTACTGGTACAGTACTTAGAGGATAAAGCACCAATCCTCAATGGTATGTCAACTGTTCCCAACTTATATATAATTACAAACAATCAGAAATCCGTTTGTGTTGACATGCACTTAAATATAAGTATGCAATTTTGATTAGTTTAATTTGTGTTAACATCCAAAGTTTTTTTCATACTAGCTGGTTCATTATATATGGAAAGCATACCAGGAATGAAGCAATTATACATAACTCAATTTATAATTGTTTATATATTATGGTATACATATTATACTAGCTAGTTCATTAACTGTCTATTAATAAATTAATAAATTAGTTACATCGTCATGAATCATATAAATATATGATCATGGAATATAAATTATATAATGTGTGAAATTATAAAAATATATATATAATATTTGTAAATGATTTATATAAATATATAATTGTTTTAAAAATATATATATAAATATATAATTATACGATAAACAAGATTCATGAATGCAGAGCAGAAGTGAGAGAAATGAGTGAAGTGCATAAACTTAATGATGAAGAAATGAATGTGTACAGGAAACAATATAATGATTCATACAGTGGAAGTTTGCATCATATCTGGGCATGAAGTAGCAGCAGCACCGCCGGTGCCTTTAGTGGCAGTGGTCTTTGCCGCCTCCTCAAACAAAGATGGAGTGAGTTGTATGTAATACTACAACTTTTAGAAGATTGGATTGGATTATTCAATTCAATGGTAATTCACACCTCCCCTTCCCTTGGTGTTACTTAATTACTTCAACTTCCCCATCGATCTATCCCCTTGGAGTTACTCACAACACTCACTCAAACACTTCAACTACGTACAATTGTACAAAGCTGCAGATGATGACTTATTACCTTCAACATACCTTCAGCCCGAGGCAGGCATGCAACATCCCCACCCTAAACAATAATGTGATCCTCAAGTTTACTGATTTTCCAATTTGCCAATCTTCAAATCAGGTTGCCTTGTCGAATTGCCAAGTTCTTCAAAGAGTAAATTGAATCAGGCAACACTTCTACTTTGCACCCTCTTAAATCAATTAATCTTAACTTATGCAAATTTTCAATCCCTTCAGGAAGTCTAGAAAGACACTGACATAGTTTAAGATCTAGAATTTCCAAGTTATTCAAAGAGCACATTGAATCAGGTAACTCCTCAACTTTGGTCCCACTTAAATTAATCTTGCTTAGGTGACGCAAATTTCCAATCCCTTTAGGAAGTCTGGAAAGACACTTACATCCTTCAAGGTCTAGAATTTTCAAGTTATCCAAAGAGCAAATTGAATCAGGCAATTCCTCAACTTTGCTATGACTTAAATCAATCAATCTTAACTTATGCAAATTTCCAATCCCTTCAGGAAGTCTAGAACAACACTCACATCCTTCAAGGTCTAGAATTTCCAAGTTATTCAAAGAGTAAATTGAATCAGGCAACTCCTCAACTTTGCTACGACTTAAATCAATCTCTCTTAGGTGACGCAAATTTCCAATCCCTTCAGGAAGTCTAGAAAGACACTCACATCCTTCAAGGTCTAGAATTTCCAAGTTATTCAAAGAGCAAATTGAATCAGGTAACTCCTCAACTTTGCTGTATCTTAAATAAATCGTGCTCAGGTGATGCAAATTTCCAATCCCTTCAGGAAGTCTGGAAAGACACATACATCCTGCAAGATTTAGAGTTTTCAAGTTATCCAAAGTGCAAATTGAATCAGGTAACTCCTCAACTTTGCTCCGACTTAAATCAATCTTGCTTAGGTGACGCAAATTTCCAATCTCTTCGGGAAGTCTAGAAAGACACTCACATCCTTCAAGGTCTAGAATTTCCAAGTTATTCAAAGAGCAAATTGAATCAGGTAACTCCTCAACTTTGCTGAATCTTAAATAAATCGTGCTCAGGTGATGCAAATTTCCAATCCCTTCAGGAAGTCTAGAAAGACACTCACATCCTTCAAGGTCTAGAATTTTCAAGTTATCCAAAGAGCACATTGAATCAGGTAACTCCTCAACTTTGGTCCCACTTAAATTAATCTTCCTTAGGTGACGCAAATTTCCAATTCCTTCAGGAAGACTAGAGAGACAATCACATCCTCTAAGGTCTAGAATTTCCAAGTTATCCAAAGAGCAAATTGAATCGGGTAACTCCTCTATGTTGCTCCAAGTCAAATCAATGTATCTCAGTTGAAGCAAATCTCAAATCTCTTTTGGGAGTTTCTGCAACCTACAGTAACACAATCTCAATACTCTTACACATTTTAGACCATTGAACATTTTTGGAGTAAGTTGTTCTGGAGAAAGGTCTTCAGCAAAAAAGCTGCGAAGTTTTCCAAAGGCATCACAAATGGAATCAAGATCCATAGGCCTTCCAATTTTCTGCCATGATAGGTGCCGTAAATTTTCAATCTTCACCTTATCCTCTTGCGGATCAACACTGTAGCATTCATTTTTGGTAAGAAATTCGGCAAAATCATGCACTATGTCATGCATTTTGCAAGATATAATGATGTTGGAATCCATGTAATCTTTCTTAAAATCTTGGAACAAAGACCGCATTGCTAAATTCCCAAAAACCTCCCGGCCTTTTTGTTCCATCTGATTATGATCACTGCTGCCATTTGTTGTTGTGAGATAACCTTGTGCCATCCAAATTCCGATGAGCTTATCTACATATAATCTATAATCCTTGGGAAAGACAGCACAATATGAGAAACATCTCTTCATCTGTGGGGTTAAATCATCATAGCTTAGATGCAAATGAGGAAAGAGATCTGTTTCCACTTTCTCCATCTTCCAAAATTTATCATCCAGGTTAGATAAAACATATTGCCATTCCTTCTCAGTATGTTTGCTTTGTAGCAGGCTTCCCATGACCTTAACAGCAAGTGGCAGTCCTTTGCACTTTTGAGCAATTTGCTTACCAATTTCTTTCAGTTTCTGCTCCCTGCTGTTGCTGCTGTTTCCCCCGGAAAATGCTATCCTGCTAAGCAACGACCAAGCATCTGTGTCGGATATTAGGTCCACTGGATGCTCATACACACTTCCCATCATTCTTGCAACGTTAGTTTTTCTTGTGGTCACCAAGATTCTACTCCCAGGGCAGTTGTTACCAAGATCCTTGAGACAGTTGTTAAATGGCTCCCACTTTGCATAATCCTCTGTCCACACATCATCCAACACAAGTAGGAACCTATAAGGAAAAACAATATATATAAACAATACACTCATCAATTCATACTATAGTCTATACTATACATGAAAGAGTAACAAACTACTCCTAAAATATTGCCAATAACCAGGATCGGAGCCAACAAACAGAAACATTTAAAAAAATAAAGAAGTATATATAGTAATTCACACAAATAAAATTCAACTGTACTAATTAAAATCTTGCTTGCTAAAAAAAATAAAAAATATATATATACTGATCATAACTGAAAAATTAAATACTCCAGCGCAGCAGCAAAATATAATAATATAATAATACACTGTAACATATATTATTCTAACAGATGGATCGAACCTAACCTTTTATGAGACAAAGTGGTTTGGATTTTGTCCAGTAACACTTGCAATTGAGACAGATCTGTGGAGCTTTTAGTGGTTGACTCAACAATGGCTTTTGCAATCTTGATCTCGTCAAAAGGCTGTGAAACACAAACCCACACCCTTTCAGGAAAATGAGCCTTTATCTGTTGATCGTTATAGACTAGTTGAGCAAGGGTAGTTTTCCCTATCCCTCCCGCACCCACTATGGAAATGACGAGAGGGCCAGGGGGACCTTGAAGCAACTTGCTTATTAAAGCACTGGCATCGGATTCCCGACCTTGAATCACTGATGCATCCACATACGCAGTAGTGGGCACTGGCTTCCATTCATGATCACAAGTGTGTGTGTGCACTACAGATGCTTGAACAAATTTGAACTCATCTTTCTCTTTGGTGATCCGATCAAGTCTGGAATCGAGATCCTTTATTTTGTTGGCGATGTCTCGATGCATAACAATCCTTTTGAAAGGGAAACAACAAGGCAGGAAAGAGCTACAGCTTCCTGCAGTTGGAGCTGCTGCAACCTGGGACGACCTCTCCATCTGTTGTCTGCGACTTCTGGTGCTCCACTCATCAAGAACATCTTCCACATCATAGCAGAAGGCTTTCATCTCTTCCACCCACAGCTTGACGCTCTCTTCCATGAAGCTTCTCCTCTCTGCATCGACCAACACCGCCCTGATTTTGTTGAGCTTTGATGAGAGGTTTTTGATCTCCTTCTCCACACCCAACGTTGCTCTTAGCTCCTGGATTTGGTCCTTGACGATGATGGACAGCAGATCCACAACACCGGAGATGATAGCGTCGGCCATGGTTAGTTCACTCTGTACTCGATCTGTAGCAGTGGAGACTGAATGACTTTTAGATTGGTTTGGGTTTGGTTGTATCTGTCTGTTGCTAACTTGCTTCCATATATCATTCCTATGCTTTATGCTTACATGACTACATTTCGTACATGATAAAAAAGTGTATAATATAATATAAAGTAAAGAAGAAAATGAAATTTACTTTTAAACAAAAAAAAAAAATAATAAAACAAAACAAAAAAACAACAACAACACAGCAATAAAAATGTAACTTATTTTAGTTTAATGAATGTGATGAATTTGTAACAGGGTCAATAATATTTTAAAAAAAAAATGAATTCAATGTGTTTCAATAATATTCATGGCTACTCCGTATTTGTTTATGCATGTTGTAGTAGTGTCCCATTTTTCCCATAGGGGTCAATGTCTATGTCTTGTGGACGTCTACTTTACAAGGACATTCTTAATAGTGGAGATTTTGGTGTGATTTTTGAGGAGTTTTTATGTGATTAGAAAAGAGAAAATTGGAAGAAATAAAAAATAAAAAATAAAAATAAAAAAATAGAAAAATGAAATTAAAAAAATAAAAAGTAGTCTTTTTAGACACTTGTTATCTAAAAAAGAGATGAGATCTACGTTTATGACAAAATCCCCATTTTTGCATAGAGCACTCTCCCCCCTTTCTCCTCTCTCTTCTTTCCTCCACTTGTCATTTTTTTCTTAAAACTTATGCATAATCCGGGTTGCTCAATAGGTTAGGCAGAAATTTGGAGTAGTCACAGTACGTATTATGGTGGACCTATTTCATTAATGATTGATTGGTATTGGTAGGTAAGGTATTACTTCTCTGAGCTGTGATGAGAGAGGTTTTTGATCTGATCGCCTTCAATTCTCCACACCTAACGCTAGCTCTACTTATATATATTAGCTCCTTACAATACTCCTGGTAGGAAAATAATATATCTACTTTTAATTTCTACTCCTAATTTTTACTCTCACACTTAAATTTTTAATATAAACCCTCTTGTAATATAAATAAGAGTCCCAAATTGCCCTTTTCAGAAAATTCGTTGATCATCTCTAAACTATTGCAATTAATATATACAAATGTCTGGAGTACATTTGAAAAAATCCATTCATGGCTACTTGTACTATGCTATTTTTGTGAATGTTTTTACACGAAATAATGAAATATATTTGGTTGTACCATCTCCGGAAGAAATCAGAGGTATTAAAGAGTATTTTCATTATAATTAATCAAATTGAGTATTTCCAACTTGTGATAAAAGTAATACTCTATAGTAAAATGAGTATCATTGTAGATAGTCATAATTGAAAATAAAAATTATTTCCTAACATTTTTTATATTAAAATAAATTAAGTCTTCTTAATGCAATATTGATAACCATTGATGAATCGGTAAAACTTAATTTATTTTTTGTTAAAAGTGTCATGATTATAATATACCGGCCTACTGATATTGTTGAAGTGTAATTAAAGTATTATTATGCACTAAAGTTAACCAGTATATATGATTGAGACTTCAATAATCACTAAGGAAAATAAGGCTCAAATTAAGGGCTATTACCTTCTAAATGCTACAACAATTCACTAGAATGGAGGAAAACTCCCAATCAAGAATTCAGAAGAATGTACTCAAGAACCCAAGATCTTTCAATCAAGGATTAGAGCAAAAAGAATTATCTCACTTTTGTAATGTACCTGATAGTCCTAATTCCCGCAAGTATAGGATGTAGGTACTTGTATGTATGTGTATGGATTGTGTATAAACGAAGGAGTATATGAACAAAGAACAAGAAATGTATCAAAGCAAGGTTCTTTTATTAATGTGTATTCTTCCATGTCCCTTTAGATTGGGATTATCCCAGCAAATTTAAGCTTTGCAAGATGACATAGATGATGACATGAAAGCACAATATTATTTTCTTTTATTTTTTATTGCCATCTGTCTAGCAAACTTGTAGAATTAGCAAGTTTGCTAAACAGCTTGCTAGGCAGCTTTTTGCTGCCAATGGCAGCTTTATTTGACTTTTTTGTTCTTTTCTATTTTTTTAATCTCTTTTATTATTATTATTATTATTATTATTATTATTATATTATATTATATTATTATATTTATAATATAATATAAAAATGGGACCACTTTAGAAAGTGAGAGAATATTGCAGGGATGTAGTGTGAATAATAGATGATTTGTAAAGAGAACAATAGAGATGATAGCGTCGGCCACGGTTAGTTCACTCTGTACTCGATCTGTAGCAGTGGAGACTGAATGACAAGGTTTGGTTTGGTTTGCTTAGCTAACTTGCTACCATATATCATTCCTATGCTTATATCAGTACCTTTTTTTTGTCTGATTTAATTTTCATTCGCACGGAGCCTGCCCAATTAAAGGGCAAAGTGTTGATCAAATTGATTTTTTTATACAAGAGGGAGTTCGAACTTCTGATTTCTCTTAACAAATAATACTGCACTGCCACTCTCGCTAACTAAACTGATTGACATGAGTACATGATAAAGTGTATTACGGAGTATAATATAAAGTAAAAAAGAAAATGTAATTTATTCAATGTGTAATATATACGGTTGTTGTTTATGCATGTTGTCCCATTCCCATTCCCATTATTTCCGTAGGGGTCATTGTCTA